TCCCCTTCCCCTCTCTCTCCCCTCTCTCCCCAAGAAAAAGTAAAATCCTCTCATTGATCATTAATTCTTTTCCTTGAACTTTCTAAAGGATGAAAGGTGTTGGGTGTTTTCACATTGATTTTCTGATAAAGGAGATATTCTCTTGGCTTCTGAGAGATTACACCATAGAACACAGAGTGCCTGGAGATAGAAATGATCTAACAAAGAACTGAAGTCCTTTTATAACATTCTGAATTGAGAAATCATGATTCAAAAAGGTATTGTAACACTTTTTCATTTAACTTAAAGGGTAGCTAGGTTGTAAAATACAGCTTATTAATTACTATGGTGAGGTGTTCCTGTGAGACAAAAATTGGAATACTTCTATAAGCAGAAGTAGTGCATGAGGAAACAACTGGTGGATAATAATAGGTTTGGCAATTCCAAAAATGATTAGTAGAAATTCAAATTGATGTTGACTGCTGATAATTATGAAATCTTGGAGTATTTTGTGGTGGAGCTTTCCATGTTTTTCAATATAAACTAAACAGGAGGAGTTGTGGTGTTGCTAGAGGAATTTTTGTTTTGACTTGGATTATATTTGTTTGCTATTTGATATTCACTTACTAAATGGAAAAGGAATTCTTTGAGCAGTATATTGTTTTTCTAGATGAGAGACCTGACCCCTTTCCTCCTCTTTAGACTCTACATCCACACAATAGTCCATTAACTGTGAAACCACCTTTTGGAAGAAGTATATCATACTAGATAATCTTTAGCTTGCAATGTGATGCCATATGGTGTGATTTATTTTGACTTTTGAATGCTAAGTCATGTCTATATTTACATCTAGAACAAGAGCAGCAGTTAGTATTTCTCTGAGTTTAAAGAGCTCCAGTCTCTTGATTTCTTCAGGAATACAGAATGAGAATTTTACAGAAATTCAATGACTGTCAAAGATTTTATTTAATTCTTCAGTTTCAGAATTCATCTCTTGACATATCAGCTGACAAGTTTCAAATCACAGCTTGCTGTCATCAGATACAAGTTTCCCTTTATTATAAAAAATAGTCTATTTAGATACGAATGAAGTAGCTGTGGTCCAAGCAGCCTGCTGGATTCTAGATACATATGGGATTTCATGACATTTTTAATAGCATAAAATTTTTTTTACAAAAGAATACATCTTTATTATTAAAAAATTGGAAAATAAAGAAAAGGGTAAAAGAAACACTCTTAATTCTATTATCCTAATGAGGAAAAGCAGAGTTTCCCACCCCCAAATAGTCCTTTTGGGATATTATTTTAAGCCAATTATTTTTAAGAAACAAAAGATTAAGAAAAACCCTTTGACCCTCTCACTTACCTAAAGGAATTCAGACAGAAAAACTTGTTTAATGGCTGGGAGCTATTCTCTCTAGCTGTTTACCTTAGCATATGTGAATTAAGTGTGGCAGACAGACTGGGCGGATCCAAGTAAGTCTCTGTTAGATTCTCCTCTGTGTCCTGTTGTTTCTGGGTGGCCTGGCAAGAATTTGTTTATCACATGTTTGCTCTTTCTCATCTAGGGTAAATTGCTTACTTTCACTTTGAATACTAGACCCCTTCCTCCCTCTCCTTAGTCCAGAATAACATATAAGCCTCAACTGCCCAATGTGACCTTGAATTTCATATTCTCATGGAACCCCTGAATGTATATATGTAATAAAATTGGTCATTTTCTCCTGTTACTCTTTCTCTTGTTAGTTTATTAGTCCAGATAAAAGAACTTAAAAGGATGGGAGAAAAATTGTTTTCCCCACACTAACATATCCATATTTTGGTAGACTTGTTTTCAGCCTTTTCCCTATAATGTTTACACAGCTTTAAACTTACTGTATATACACTTTTTTGTATGACTTCACTTATCATATGTACTTTTCGTGTTAACCTCCCATGTACCCATCTCTCAGCTTCAACAACAATCAGTAAATACATGGCCATCTTGTTTCACCTATATCCTTGGAGTATTTTGAAGCAAATTGAAGACATCATTTATTTCACTTGCGAATACATATATATCTTTAAAATATAAGAAAGTTTTAAAAATATACCACAATGCTATTATTAAAACTCAAAGAAAAAACACTAAAAGTAATTCTTTAATTTCACTAAGTAATCTGGTCAGTTCTAACAGTGACTTTTTAAAAAAATCCTCACCCAAGGACTCGCTGAGAGAGAGAAAGAAAGAGAGAGAAAGAAACATTGATGTAAGGGAGAAACATCTATCAGTTGCCTTCTGTATACTCTCTGACTAGGGATCAGATCTGAAACCTGGCATGTGCCCTGACTGGGAATTGAACTGGCAGCCTTTCCGTGCACTGCATGATGCTCAACCAACTGAGCCACTGTGGCTGGGCTAACAGTGGCGTTTAAGGCAGAGTAAAATTCCCTCAATGAATAGCCCATTATTTACTTCATCGTTCTATTATTATAGGACATTTAGGCGTTTACAGTTTTGTGCGATTATAAATAATGCTGTGATGAACAAATTTATGCCTGTAACTTTTTCTTTAGTTGAATCACTTTCTTAGGATTTCTAGAAGTTAAATAACAGCACAGAGCCCTGGCCAGTGTCGCTCAGTATATTGGGCATTGTCCCTGCACCGAAAGGTTGCTGAATCTATTCCGTCAGGGCATATGCCTGGATTTTGGGCTCAAGCCTTGGTAGGGGGTGTGCAGAAGGCAACCCATCGATGCTCTCATATCGATGTTTCTCTTTTCCCCTCTCCCTTTCTCTCTCTCTAAAAATCAGTAAAAACAACAACAAAAACCAGTATATAAAGTCGCTTGATGTTTTTTCAAGTCTCCAACTGTGTATGTTGTATTAAAGGATTCTTTGTTTAGGAACAGCAACCCATGGGCAGAAGACCTTAGCTGCCTCCTACTGGTTTTAAAAGGGTGGCTTGCTGTCCTACTCAAAAAGTGCCTTGCTGGGATCTTCAGTTGAACCTCTCTCAGGCGTGTGGCGATAATAGCCTGTCTTTTATTCTCTTGCCATAAAAGTATGACTAGGAATTTAAGTTATTTTCCATAGTCTTATAACCTCTCTCCCACATTGATTTAGCTCACTTTTTGATGTGTTAGATTAGGAATCAAATTTGAATTTCATTTTCTTCAGTCATTAACAGCTGTATAAGATGAGGATTCTTTTTTTAATGAAGTATAACTGAAATACATTAGTTTGAGGTGTACAACGTAATGATTCAATATTTGTATATGTCGTGAAATGATCACTACAATAAGTCTCGATAACATCACAGGATTCTTGTTCTTCTATCTCAAGTGGGAAAGATTATGTAGTCTTAGGGAGAAAGACAAGTACTGGAAAACTTGATTCTGTGTTTTAACCATTTAAAAAAGGTAAAGTGGAAATTAATAGAAAACATTAAAGTAGTTATTTAAATTTAGAGTTCAGATTTGTTTGGATTACTAAACTCAGGATTCTGGATGTCAATAATAGTCTAGATAGGTGATTTAAAACTACAGTAAACAATAAATGAGTAATGTGACTCTTGTCTGCTGTTATTATTTGGCAAGCAGAGTGGGATAGTACAAAGAACATGAGTTTTGGAGTCAGATTTGGGTTCATTTCCTGGCCTTGTCATAATGATACCAACACCAATGATATTATAATTACTATTTATTGACCATACTATATGCCAGATACTGTATTAAACATTTTATATATGTCATCTCATTTAATTTTCACAATAACCCTGCAAAGATAAGTTTATGATCTTATATACACAGGGCCTCTGGTAGAGCTAGGTCTGTCTCTGTAGTCTTTTTTTCTTTTGTGTCATGATTATTTTATGCTTTCTTTAGCCATTCTCCCACATTTCCCAGAATCCCCTCCCCACTCTGTGAGTACAACTTCTCTGCTGTTAGGTCTAATTTTTAGGTCTACCTATGGAAATGTTTGGAATGGAAGCAGTACTCTAAGGCGTCTCATCACAGTGTATTCTCCCATTGTTATGACACAGACTCTACAGTGATAATCTGAGTTTAATACATGGCATGTGATTATGATATATGAAAGAATGCTTCAAAGATTGCTTAGTAGTTCATATTTTCATTACTGATCTCTTTTCTTTCCAAAGTTTTCAAAGTTGGGCATTAAGTTGGGGCATTTCAACTTTTACTCATCTTGTTTTCTCTCAATTTTGCTTTTTTTAGAGTTTGAATTCTTATACAAATGGAGCATATGGCCCACCATATTCCACTGGCCCTGGGGCAAATACTGCCTCCTACTCTGGGGCTTACTATGCACCTGGGTATTCTCAGACCAATTACTCTACAGAGGTTCCAAGCACTTACCGTTCACCCGGCAGCAGCCCAACCCCAGTCTCTCGTTGGATGTATCCCCAGCAGGACTGCCAGACTGAAGCACCTCCTCTTAGGACGCAGGTTCCAGGATATCCTGCTTCACAGGTGAGAATTTTCCTGTTGGGTTTGTATTTTTTAATATTCTATGAATGATGCCATGTTTATTTCTCTGTTCTCTCTAAGAGGAGTTCTAATATGTTGACGTAAGAAATGTCCAAACCTCTAGAGAATTTTTGAGTTTATTTGAGCCAAACTGATGACAATTGCCAGGAAGCAAAATCTCAACTAATTGAGAAAATGCTCCAGAGAATGGCAGTTTTGCACCTTATTTTATACATTAGAATGAAAGGAGGAAACCTAAGGCAGTTACATGAAATCCGATGGTGGTAGATTAGGGAGGTGGGAGAAGGCAAAGTGAGGAAATCTCTGAGGCTGGATAAAGAGTAAAATGGAGAGACAGATACTTCTTTTACATTGGTGGGTGCAGGACAGTAAACAGTTAACATTTACAGCACAGAGAGATGGTGTGCAGGGAAAAAGATAACAGTGAGGGGCTCTGTGGTCTAGTGTTCTGGTGGGAGACTGTGTCCTAAGGGGCCTGGAGAAAAGGAAATGACCCTGACATTTCAAAGGTATGTTATCATAGATGCAAAAGGACAATAGGCTCAGTTAAGGTAAAGATTGACCTTTGTCAAAGAAGATACCTAAGACATGACTACCCACCAAGACTCACTTTTAGTTAGGAAGTTTTAATTTCAAACCATTGGATGTGGTTACTTTTGGTCTCTGAGTTTGTAAGGCCTGTCATGCAGGCCTCCCCTGAGCTTGTCAGGTTTAGTATGGGGCCCTTTTTCATCCACAAATATGTCTTTGTTTCTGCTTCCTTATAGTATACGGGTCTACTTATTTATAGTGTGTCTGGGGCAGACTCATGTTGTGCTTCAGACATTGAATTTTAGACCGTATTTCTTCTTTGGAACCAAACTTTTTTAGGCTTGGAGAAATTACTATAACTGATCAGAGATGTTATAATTTAGCCCAGTAGTAGCTAAAATATACTCTGTTAAGGAGAGAGGAAGCATCTCAGAACCTGTTAATACTAGAATATTTTCATTACTTTTAAGGTTTTTTTTAGCAGTGACCAGCATGTTTCCTTCCTTTCAATCTAGAACCCTGGAGTGACCCTGCCTCATTATCCTTATGGGGATGGTAATCGTAGTGTTCCACAACCAGGACCATCAGTACGACCACAAGAGGACTCGTGGGCTTCTCCTGGTGCTTATGGAATGGGAACCCGTTACCCCTGGCCTTCAGCTGCACCCTCTGCACCGCCTGGGAATCTTTACATGAGTGAAAGTACTTCACCATGGCCTAGCAGTGGCTCTCCTCAGCCACCTCCATCACCACCACCCCAGCAGCCCAAGGTAGGAGACCTAAATGTTGTTCTTTTGATGTTTGGGTAGTTAACAAAGCATAAAATGAAACTCTTCTGCATTTGTCTATGTTAAGTGGGGACTAACTGCAAAAAGTTGGTAACTACCACCTATAGCTTTACCTAGCCCAATTTCTTTTAAAAAAAAAAAGACTTTCTTTTTTAGAGCAATTTTAGGTTCACATCCTCTTTCTAAAAGACAGCTCATTTACTCTTTGTTGTAATACTACCTAAATGTTTTTAAAATGTCAAAGATTGTATTTTATTACCTCAATCTATAGACAGAAAACAAAACCAATATGAAATTGCATGGTTTAATTAAATCAAAGGTTTCAACATCATTTGCTTGTGACTATGTTCCTTTTCAACATCTGTCCTAAGGTTTTAACTCTTTATGGGCAAAACTATCTAATTTCTTTTTATTAAGTCAGTCAGTGGATTGTGAGGTAGTAAGGGTAGATTATGAGGTGTTCATGATGATGAACCACTCCAGGTAGATTCCAGCCATTATACACAGGAATTCTCTGCCTTTTACTTGACAGGGTACTCCCTTTTATCTTTTTAGGGCTGTTTTTCTCAATTCATTAATGAGGGAAGTCCAGTTTTATTGGTGGGGAATCTTTTCATGTACCTTCCTGGTCAGGTGAAAGATGTGGGCTAACAAATCTGATGTTGATGGATTCCCATTAAAACAGCTTTTCCCCCCCTTTGCTCTCCCACCTCAAGGATTCCTCATACCCCTATAGCCAATCAGAGCAAGGCATGAACCAGCACAACTTTCCTAGCAGTGTCCATCAGTACGAGTCTTCGGGAACAATGACCAGTGATAATTCAGATCTTTTGGATCCCCAAGTCCAGTATAGTGCTGAGCCTCAGATGTATGGTAACACCACCAATGAACAGCCCAGCAATCAAGAGCAAAGTAATAATCTTCCTGAAGAGTGTTTGTCTTCAGATGAAAGTCCTCCCCCAAGTATTAAAAAAATCATACAAGTGCTGGAGAAGGTCCAATATCTTGAGCAAGAAGTAGAAGAGTTCGTAGGAAAAAAGACAGACAAAGCATACTGGCTTCTGGAAGAGATGTTAACCAAGGAACTTTTGGAACTGGATTCAGTTGAAACTGGGGGCCAGGACTCTGTCCGACAGGCCAGGAAAGAGGCTGTTTGTAAAATCCAGGCCATACTGGAAAAATTGGAAAAAAAAGGATTATGAAAGGATTTAGAACAAAGGGGAAGCCTGTTACTAACTTGACCAAAACTGCTGATTTTGGTTAATTACCCTCTTTTTGAAATGCCTGTTGATGACAAGAAGCAAGCAATACATTCCAACTGTCCTTTGACCTAAACTTGAAAAACTGGTAAATGACTTGGAAAAACATTTTCGTTATGAGTTGTTTTCAGTTTTCAGACCAATGAATGTAGTAGGAAACTGTGGAGAAACCAATATTGCCAAGTAGGCTCACTTATTAAGAAATTTATGGATATCTGCAAACTGCTTCTTATCAACAGGAGGGAAATACACTTTATGTAACAGGCTTTTCAGAAACCTACCAGATGAGACTGGATATAATCTGAGACAAACAGGTTCTGTTTTTTAAAACATCTGGATTACTTGTCACATTTTTGTACATTGTAACTGCTTTCAACGTACACGTCGTGTGTAATTACAGCTTGGACTTTAGCCTTGTTGGACCACTGTTTTGTTTTGTTCTTTGCAGTTCACAAATATAATGTTATTCTCTACTTCTTGGTACATTTTGTAGTAATACGTTTAATATAATTATTCAAGAGACTATATTGACAGCCAGATAGTATGGTATTTCTGAATGAATTTCTATCTTTTCACCGCTTGAATATATTGCAATGTGTAGTGAATTTCTGAGGTAAATTGTCTCCTTTTTTGTATAGATCATTAGGTTAGAATTTTACCACTTATACTTTTCATGTTAATAGCGGAAGGCAATTTGGAAATGGCATGGGCACAGGAATGAAAATGTTTGTGGCCAATTTTTCGTTTTTACTCTTTTATTACATTTGGATAAAGATCCACTTTAAAATTTCCTTTCCTCCTCTTTATTATCTTTTCACTAGTGCTGCTTCCATATGGAGCATTGCGATAGGTAACAGATGAAAAATTAAATGCCACAGTGGGTAGAAGTAGTAACTGTAAAAAGTAATAATTTGGAAATGCTGTTCTCCATCTAAAATATTAGTTTCACTGTCAAGATCCCTATGAGCAGACTTTAGCTCAGTTTATAGTAAAAAACAATGAGGGTAAAAGAGAATTTATGCTCAGGGAATGAATCAGCCATAGCTAGAGTGGGAAATATTTTTTTCTTTTAAAAGTAGATTTGATGTTTATCTTTATTTCCCTAGAATAAATTGCATAGAAGTATTGCCTGTTTTATAAAAAGATGTTTATTATCATTAATAACAATCATTTTTGAGCCAAATTTAAGGAAGGGATATTGAAAGGGTCTTAGCTGGGCTTAATTGGGTAGCTCTATGCTATCGTATAGAAGAGACCTTAGGTAAGTAATTTACTTTTTACACCTGAAGTGACTTCTAGTATACAGTATCTGTTATTGGAAAAGCAGCTATTTCTTAATAAGATATCCATGTGATAATATTTTTTTTCTAGACTGCCAGGCCTACTAGTTGTAATAAATCTGTCAGCCATCTCCTCTCCTTATTAAAAAAAATACAAAACGAATACAAACATAATTGATTATGAGAAGAAATGGAGTAAAAATAATGGCTGGGTCTTATGGTTGGGATGAGTGATTTTATGAGATAATGTGATAATTTTATTCTAGGATTTTTATTTTTGGCCTAATATAGGAATTTTTAAAAAGGCTTTTTTATGAAAATTAGAAAACTATACTTGAAACAAAATGTAGAAGGGGGAGACCCTTAAAGCTAAGTTAACATAAACCAGTGAGACAATGATTAATTCTGGAGAGAACACTACTATTTAACTGAGTGCCCAAGATACCAGTTTCCATTGTCTTGATTTATATGTATATACACACACAAATACATTATGCACTATATTCATATGTGTGTATGTTTCTTAAGTTATTTTTTTAAATTTTCAGATAATTTTAGACCTTCTGAAGAGTTGTAAAAATAGTATTTTCTGTATACTCTTCATTCAACTTGCCCTTCTGTTAACATCTTACATAACTATAGACCATTTGTCAAAGTAAGAAATTAGCCTTGATACAATACTATTAACTAAAGTAGAGAGTTTAAAAAGTAGAGATTTTCTTAGAGTTTTCACTAATGTACTTTTTACTTACTGTTCAGGATCTAATCCAGGTTCCCACCTTGCACATAGTTGTCATGTGTCTGTAGGGTCCTGCAATCTGTGGCAGTATATTATGACACCTGGTGGTGTAATGTATTTCTGGTGTTGTTAACCTTAATCACTACCCAAGGTGGTGTCTGTTAGGATTCTCTACTGAAAATTGCTGTTTCTTTTGTGATGACTAAATATTTGCTGGAGATACTTTGAGACTATGCAAATGTCCTGTTTCTGCTTAAACCTTTGCCCACTCATTTTTGTATCCATTGCAAATCTTACTTGTGTCAGTTACTACTGTGGTCTTCTAATGGTGATTTTATATTTCTCTCATTCTACATTTATTAATTAGAATTCTTCTGTAAGGAAGGGTTAGTGCTTCTGGATTTATATTTTTAATTATAGTAAAATATTCAGGATAAGTACAAACTTAGAACTTAAAGATGTAAGCCTTATTAAATTAAACTAATTCCAAATACCAATTATCAAAGAAAGAAAAACTAAATTGTTAACCTGTTTCAGAAAATATAATGAACTTATGAAGGAAAGTAGTATTTATGTTTTGTGGATTTGCTTCAGTTTTTGACTTAGTATTGACTCCAGACTGAATTCAAAATTTTCTTGAAATTCCACATCTGGACTTTTTTAAAGTATCTAAATTTATATTACTTTGGGGATAATTTTTGTCAAAATCTTGAATAAAGTTACCCAGACCTGGCATGTTAAACACAACTATGTCTTTTTTATAATAAGCCACAGTTGTTCCAAATCTAAACACCAATATGAATATTTAGATAAACAAGCCCTAACGAAATATCTGGGGGATGGGTTATGCTTTTCTCTACATTTTTGGGGTGGAATTCTTTGAAATGCTTTTTAAAATAGAGTTTTAAAAATACTTCTTTGGCTGGTTGATGTAATACTGTTAAAGATATGCAGATTTTTAAAAATACATTTTTTTAAGTATTAGATTTTTATTATTATTGAATTTTCGAGAGGAAGAGAAACATCGATTGGTTGCCTCCCGCAGGCACCCCTGCTGGGGATTGAACCTGTAACCTGGGTATGTGCCCTGACTGGGAATCAGATTCACCACCTTCTGGTGTATGGGACGGACGATGCTCCAACCAACTGAAACACACTGGCCAGGGCTATGCAGACTTTTTAAAAAACTTTAAGAATATGGATTAAGTTGGCATTTTAAAAATAGGTTTTTGGGGGTGGATAGTTGATGACTGGAAATTTTCTTTTTCATCTTTCTAAAAAGTTATGAGTTTAAAGAATTAAATAATTCTAAGGAAGTTATGATTTTAAAGAGTCAATTCTATGAAAAGGAACTTTTTCCTGTTCCCACTCCCATTTTTAATTCTGCAAAAGCAACCACTTTCAATTGAGTTTAAAAAAAAAAACTCCATATTTTTCAATAGCTTCTTGACTTGTGAATTTTAGGTAATTGCTACTGATTTTTTGTTATAGAAGATGAAAGTTTAGGTTTATTTATCTGCCTCTAACATACACACATCTCAGTCCTCATTCCCTCAACTTTTTGATCTAGGTATATGGCAATTTTGTTGACTATGTAAAGGATAACCAGAGCTCAGTCATGCAGTAAACTGTGATTACTTTAACTTTCCTGAACAGCTTGTTTTCCCTGGAATTAATAATTTGTCTTATTTTTGTTTGCTTATGTACTTATGGTTAATTTGACCTCAAACCGTCCATCATTTGTCTAAGTCTTCTCTTAGGATGATCAGACATATATTTTATCAATTTTAAATGGAAAAAGTCTCTCCTAGAGCCCTCTGACTGGAAAACTGGTATGTTTCTGGTGCATACTTTCATTCTGGGTCTTCTATTCATCCTGTTGGTTTCCTTTTTTCTGTAGCCTCTCTTTCTCCTAGTTTATTTGCTCATTTTCATAGAGCTTGTTCTTAAGTAGTTTCCTGGGAAAGGGTACGTGGGACATAATTTTTTACATCTTGCATATTTTAAAATGTGTTTTCATGGTCCTTGGTATGAAACAATTTTTTTCTCAAGAAGCTTGTAGGATATTTTTGTCCCCTCTGTTCTGAAATTTCCTAAGGTATAGCTTTGGTGGGTCTGTTTTTCTCTATTTGCTGGACATATTTCATTCTGGAAACTCATGCCCTTAAGTCCTATGAATTGTTGTCATCGTTTGTTAATTTCCCTCCACCACCACCCTAATCTGTTAGCTCTGCAATTCCTGCTGTTTCGGTTATAGAACTCTTAGACTGGTTCTTTGATTTACTTACGTTTTCTGTTTTTCATTTTTTGCCTTTTTGCTGTACTTTGTGGGAGATTTACTCACCTTTATCTTCCAACTCTTGAATTTTACATTCCTTCTATCATATTTTTAATCCTTAGAATATTTTTTCTGTGTTCCTTTATGGGATTGTGCTTTTCTTTGTGGTTGTAGCATTTTATATCCTTGAGGATATTAATGATAATTTCTTGATGTTCTTAATGAATAATGGATTTCCTCCAAAATGG